TCACCTCCCAATACCACCTTGCAGGGAGCCAAGAGATCACCACATGGACCTTTGAGGAAACTTATCCAAACCATAGCACATATAAAATGCTTAATTAAACCCATAAGAGGTATAAAAAGTGTGGAAGACAAAAATAGTAAGGGCAATACACAGAAAACAATAACAAGTTCAGTAGATGTTAATTCAACTAAATCAATAATTGTTTTGCATGTGAATAGTCTAAATACAATTAAAAGAAACTCATTTTTACTCTAAAAGCACATAACACTGAAATTAAAGAGATGGGGATAGATGTACCATGCCAACACTAGTTAAAAGAAAGCAAGATTAGTTATATTAATTTGAGATAGAGCAGACTTCAGAACAAAGAATATTACCAGAGATAAAAATAGATAGAACTACCCATACTTATGAATTCTACCTGGCTATGAAACAAACATCTCAAATTCAGCATGGCCAGTATTTAATCTTTAATCTTTTCTTTCAGAAAATGAAATGGCAAGATATTCCATGTTCATGGATAGGAATACTCAATAGTCTCAAGATGTCAGTTCTTTCCAAGTTGACCTACAAATTCAATGCAATCCCAATGAAAATTTCAGCAAGTGATTTTGTGGGTATAAAAAAAAATGATTCTGAAGTTAATAGTTAATATAATATTATAGAACAACAAAAGTAGTGCAATCTTTCATATTTCATTAAAGAGCTACTCCATTCTCCCAGGTGCAGGTGCTCAGCTGAAACTCACTGGCAGCATCCTTGACTCTCATCTTCTGTTATATTCTACTTCCAAATCATCAGGAAATCAGATCATTTAACATCACCTCCAGCATTACACTACCTTAATCCAACCACCATAATCCCTCTTTTAATTGATCTCTCTTGTGTTTTTTTCAATCTACTCTCCACACAGCACCTAGAAAAAAAAATCCCTATAAAACAGAAATCTAGTAAGATCACTCTTGACTTTAAAGTCTCTAATAACTATCCTCACCTTACAATGTCTTCCAATATTGAGCTGAATAGCTCTACAGGATTTTCCCACTCTCCAACACTCCTTTTTGCTTACCTGACTCTGTTATTATTCACCCCATGCTACTCTAGTTGCAGAGATCACTTTGCTGTTCTTAGCAAGGTCTCAAAAAGATCCCACTTCATGACATCTGTACTTGATGTTCTCTGTCAAAAATGTTCTTTCTCTATATAAATAGTTTTCTTATCTCTTATGGGCCTTTGTTGATAGTGAAGTCTTCCCTGATCACACCTTATTCACCCACAGGTAAGTGTTCCCCCAATTCACTGGCCCTGTTTTTTATTTCTCCCCCCAAAATACAACACTATATGACTTCATATATATGTGTATGTGTGTGTATGTATATGTGTGTAGTCATATGCCACTTAACAATGGGGATATGCTTCTTTGTCAATTGTCTTTAGACAAGCATCTTAGAGTATACTCACATAAGCCTAGATGGTATAGGTCAATCATCCCTCTTGGCCTTTTGATGCACTTGAGAGATACAGTAAACACAAGATGCATGAGGCTGCTGCTAGAGTAAATGGTATAGTGTTTTACAGTAATTTTTTATAAGTAGAAGCAATATACTTTAAAATGATGATCTAAAATTATAGTATAGTAAATACATAAATTGGTAACACTCATGTATTAGCATTAGCAAGTGTTAATGTACATACCTTATTGTAATACATACATTATTGTATGTGTTGTATTTTTATACAACTGACAGTGCAGTATGCTTGCTTATATCATCATTACCACAAACACATGAGTAATGTGTTATGACATTACAGTGCCTACCATATCACTAGGCTGGAGGCTGCCAGCTAATTTTGTTCCTTGCAGATGAACAATTTTCTTTCACAAAGCCAGCAACATCACCTTTATTTGAAAACTTGATAGAAATGGAAATTTTCAGGACTTATCTCATATCATAAACTCTGGGGGTGGGACCCAGAAATCTGAGCATTCTTATGATTACAGTGCATGCTAAAATTTGACAACCACTGTGCTATAAACAACTTGACAGAGATATATGGAAGGAAACCACAAATACACAACTGGAGTTTGAACAGGGTGTGAGGTGTCAAAACATCCACATTTTGAAGTCAATTGATAACTGAAATGATGGGAGCTCACAAGAAATAGCAAATACAAATAAATTGCTGCCATTTTAGAACATTAAGATAAGCTATTAAAATACCTGATCTCACTATCAGGTAAGTATTATCATTATCATTTTTTTACAGATGAGGGAACCGATACTAAGAAGTTTAAAATTTTGTTTTCCTTCCATATCCATGTCCTTGATTGCCATAGTATTGTCTTCAGCATATAGTAAGAAAGAAAGTTTTGCATAGAACTCAAAGACTTGGTAAAATGAACTAATCAAGAATTAAAAGAAAAATGGAAATACAAGGAGGGAGTTATATTAGTCAGTTTTTCATTACTGTGACCAAAATACTTGACAACAACAACTTTGATGAAAAAAAGTTTATTTTGGCTCATGGTTTGGAGGTTCAGTCCATGGCTCCATTGCTCTGGGTTCAAGGTGAGGTAGAACATCATGGCAATGTTCTATCCTCCACTCACGATAGCCAGGAAGCAGAGAGCAGGGGGAAGGGGCTGCAGGGAAGATAAACCCTTCCAGGATACATCCCCAGTGACCCACATCCTCCAGCCATGGCCCACCTGTATACAGTTACCATTCAATCCATTCAAACTAGGCTGGACTGATTAGGTTACAGCTCTCATAACCTAATCTTTTCACCTCAGAATAGTCCTGCATTAACACAGGAGCCTTTGGAGGACACCTCATATCCAAAGCGTAACATCAGTCTAGGTGAGGAAAGTTTTAGGAAGGAAGATATGCTTGCAATGGTTTGGTTTGTAATATTTTTTAATAGGTGGGTATATAAGTCACAGAAGATGTAGAACTTTAAAAAAAATTATGGGGCTGGGGATGTGGCTCAAGCAGTATCACGCTTGCCTGGCATGCGTGGGGCACTGGGTTCCATCCTCAGCACCACATAAAAATAAAATAAAGATTGATTGATTAATACTTAACTATAAGTTTACTAGGCACTCACCACATGCCAGGTAGCATTGTGTACTGGGGTAACACAGAATCCTGAGGTTCTAGTAGCAAGAGAGAAATAAGGTCAGTGATATAAATTTAATGGAAAAGGGAATGTTTAATTTATTCTTGGTATGTTGGCAAATTTGTCCAAGAAGTGAATTTGGCTGAGTCTGCACAGGGAGTTCATTTGGGAAGTTCCGGGAGTTCCTTATAAAAGGGACAAGGAATCACTTACTCCTACCTCCCTAGTTTGATAATTTAGCAACTGTTTCTGTTTCTTAAAATAACAGAAAAAAAAAACAGAAGAAAGTTTCAAGAATAAAGGAGCAGAAATCTTATTTACTTCATACCTGAGGTGGGGCAATTGTCTTTAAACATATTTCAAGTCTGAAAGTAAATGTTTATAAAACAGGATTCACAATCAAGGGAAAGGGGTGGAGGAAAAGGAAGATCAGTTTGTTGTATTAAGTTAAAACAAATGAGTAAAAATATCAATATTTATGCTTGGGAATACATATACCATCTTTCATAAAAGATTCTAAAATTGAAAATGAAAGCCTATGGACCCATATCCAACATCATAATATTTGCCCTAGTGTTTTGTATTTCTAATATCATTTTTTAAAAATGTTTTTTACAGTTGTAGATGGACAACATGCCTTTTTAAATTTATTTTTTTAACGTGGTACTGAGGATCAAACCCAGTGCCTCACACATGCTAGGCAAGGGCTCTGCCACTGAGCTACAGCCCCAGCCTTCCTAATATAATTTTTAAAAGTTCTAAAGAGAGTCTGCCAAAGTACCTGGCAGCACCCTACCCCCTATAGTATGCTTGTCTTTGAAACAATCAACAGTACCCCAACCAAGTTCTTAGTCACCCTGACTTGCCCATCTTCACATCTTTCTAAGTCTGGCTTTAAACTATAACTTTTAAAAGGCAATTTTTTAGCTGTAAGTTTTGTCACTCCACCTCCTCACTGCCCCCATTCAATTACTCCTTTCAAATTCTATTAGTTTCGCTTTTCTCCCTGAAGGGACTCTAGAAAATATATGAACAACACAATCACAAAAGCAAAGGCTGCAGCAGCCAGAGCCTGAACATGCACACTAACATCCAGTCGTATCCCTCTTGAGGTTGTTCTACCACTGATCAAAAATCAGCGGACCAGGAAGAAGGAAAAAGCTGAAGCAGGAAGGTTGTTCCCTTCCTTCCATTTCCCCCACGCCAGGCACCCCTTAGATCTCCCGTCCCCAGGGCCGCATCCCGACTTTTCAATCACCGCCCCCAACACATACACACACCCGCCCCCGCTGTCACCCGCCACTGCCTGCGAAACAGTCATAGCCTTTGTTAAAACGTCCACGAGCACAATGGACCAGAAGAGGGACACATTCCCGGGGGCGGGGTAAAGGAAAGTCACACGAAAGCTACGCCCTCCTTGGCACGAGCCCGGGCCAACAGCCCACCTCTAAATCCTCTCCCCAGCGATGGTGAAGGTTTCTGGCAACTATGCACCCCGAGAAGGCAGTGAGGGGGAAGGGATGTGTCTGGGACACTGCTCAGGGGCACCAAGTAGGGGGACTGAACTTGAAGCTGGGACACTCTCCAGCGCCCTTGGCCAGCTTCCCGATCCTGCCAACCCCGTGTGTGGACTTCCAACCTCTGGAGCCTTTCTCCAATTTTTCTCCTTATACACACCCTCGCCCACTCTCCACAAGCACTCGGTTCCCCACGCGGTCCTGGCCGGACACCCTTAGGCAACGTCACCACCAGTGCTGCCTCACGTCTAGTTAGTTTCTCTTTGCTGGACTGAAATCACCCCCACGCACCCCGATCCCTCCTGGGACGCTCACCTGGGACCAAGTTACCCAGGAGGAGCCCCGAGCTCCTGCCACACTTACCGCGCGTCCCTCTCCGCTACTCAGCGCTCTGAGAGTTGCTCGCCGCGCCTGCGCGCTCCCACAACTGCCGAGTCCAGCGGGAGTTAGCAGGCAGGAGAGGACGGGAAGGGAGGTGATAAGCTACAGGACCGGGTTAGGGCGGAGTTATGAAATAAGGGGCGGGGCTAGTCGGGGTGGGGAATGAGGGGCGGGGCCAGGCTGAGTGGGAAACGGAGGAATGAAGGGAGGAGTGGAGCCTCTGCTGTCACCACTGCCTCTGCCGGGAAGACCGACTACCCTGTGCATCGGTCTGGGGCTCTCCACTCTTGGTAGACAGAAAAGCCATCGAGGCGCCTCTGCACTCTCAAAAAAAAACCAGACCTGGCGCAGGGCCAAACAGTCAGCCCTCGGGACTTCCTCAAGCCACACAGATTCCTGCCAGACTTCACCCCTTCACATGCCTATCTAACTACACATTTTTCTTTCCTTTGTCACTGCTCATCATGCACAGTCCTCAGCCCTTGTGAAGGGAGTGGAGATTTCTCTTCCACAGATGACCTATGCAGGTATTCGAGCGAGTCCAGATCATGACTGGCAACCATCCAAGCATTGCCCACTGTTACAGTTCTGGGAATTGCCCTTTCCCTAAGGACAAACTCTCTTGCCCTGCTTCTGGACAACTTTTGGGGACAGCAGTGTGCTTTCTCTTGGGAAAAAAAATCTTGAACAAACCTACAGGAATATTTTGGAAAGGAGAGAACATAGATTGTCAAATAACACCCATCTTTGAATCTGCCTTTTAGGCTGTTACTTTAGAATTTGTATTTTAGAATATTAAAAGCCCTTCTTAGAAACAAAATAAAAGATCTGTGCTGTTGTGGAGATGACAACCTAAGAGCTGAAGGTTTTCTGGAATTTAGCATTCTAGGGAGCCTAACTTGATTATTATTCCATGCTGCATGTGTGCTTAATTGGAAGTTCTATGCTTTTCTGTTTAGATTCTGGTCAGCTGTGGCTCCTCACATGCCTTCAGATCGGCTATTAAAATAAACACACACCTGAGTGAATCCAAAGTGAATTGTGCTGTGGGCCTGAAGTGATTTATTCCAAACTAATTTCCCCCTTTTCTTTTTACTTTAGTAATGATGGAATTAAGGTGTATTTGGTTCATTAAGAATAAAAGAATCACCTCAGGATCACACCAATATTCCTTCCCAGCAAGTATTTTGATTGTAATTGTAGCATTTTACGGAAGAATCTGGTAATTGCCTTTAAAGATAAGACTATCATGAAAATCTTCTTATCAACCTTTATGGTTCTTTCATTTGTGTATTTTACAAAGCCAACTTTCTTGAACACATTTCTATTTTGCATTTGTCAAATAAGCATAAAGAGATTGTAGGAAGGACTTATTGCAGAAAAGTATGTTGGCAAATACAGACACAGATGAATATATCTGTAAGTGTCCGGAAGCAGGGCATTGTCCTATTCATTTCACTATTAAAAGTTTTCCCTTATGGAAGGTACTTTAAAAACACAATGGGTTAATAAAAATAATTTTTTGCATCCTAACAGATGTGTATATGTAGGTTTTAAAAAACTTTTCAATTAATTACTGGGTTTATTTATTTATTTATTGTCTGCATTTGTCAGGTTATTTTGATTGGAGTAACAAATACTAAATTGAAGTAGCTTAGGTTATTGTGTAACCCAAGTTGTAATTCTATGATTGGTCTTGGGGATAAATGGAACCAGAAGCTAGAATGCTTCAAATTCCAGTTCAGGCTCTCAATCTTACCACTCTCAGACAGGGTCATTTTTTTTCTAAACCGCCCAAAGTCATGAACTACAGGCTTGGAACCATGGCCTCTGAGAAGTACGAGTGGGATTATGCCTATTAAATTGCTATCAGACAGAAGATGTCTTTCTTTCCCCATTTCCAGTTTTGTTTTGTTTTATTTGTTTGTTTGTTTGTTTTTGATTTTGAGACAGGGTCTCAACATCATTCCAGTTTTTAAAACACCAAAGGAAGAGCCTAATTGTGTGGGTTTGGGTATCATAACCACTCCTGTAAAGAAAATACATGTGTGACCTAAGAAAAAAATAAAGAGAAATATTTCTAAATGAAAAGGTTAGATGGACATGCTATTTTCAGAAGAAGAAAAAGATACACATCTTACATTTTTAGAGGACAGAAGTCTAAAAATAGTCACACTGGGCTAAAGTAAGATGTCCACAGAGTAGAGATCCTTTCTGGAGACTCTTTGGAAGACTTCTTTCTTACCTTTTCCAATTTCTAGAGGCTGTCCCCATTCCTTAGTTCATGGCCCCCTTCCATCTTCAAAATCAGCCATGATATTACTCTGACACTCATTTTTTTTAATATTTTATTTTTTAGTTATCGGCGGACACAACATCTTTGTTTGTATGTGGTGCTGAGGATCGAACCCAGGCCGAACGCATGCCAGGCGAGCACCCTACCACTTGAGCCACATCCCGACACTCATTTTTAAAACTGAATTGCTGTGTGGCGGGGTACTGGAGAATAAACCCAGAAGTCCTTTACCACTGACCTATATCCCCACCCTTTTCAAACCTTTTAAAAATTTGAGATGTGGTCTCATTAAATCGCTGAGGGTCTGGCTAAGTTGCTGAGGCTGACTTCAAACTTGTGATCCTCCTGCTTCAACCTCCTGAGTAGCTGGAATTATAGGTGTGTGCCACTGTGCATAGCTGACACTGACATTTTTGCCTACCTTGTCTACATTTAAGGACCCTTGTGATTATATTAGGCCCATCCAGATAATCCAAAATAATATTTCTTTAGGGGAATTAGAGTTATAGATAGAATTATTGTTCTTGTAGTTGTTGTTGTTATGGTTGATAATCACCTGACCTTCAGATTTTCACAGGTTCTGGTATTAAGACATAGATATGTACAGGGGGGGGGATTGGGGAGAGCTGGCATTATTATCCCTACCAAAGTATTTATTTTCATAAAAATAATGGAGCCTAATCCATTGGTTTTCAAAGTGGGGCATTTATAAACAAAAATACTGACTTCTGGATCCCACCCATTATAATTTAATTGGCCTGGAGTTCCTTCACCCCTTTAAACATACACACACATACAAAGCATGCACACATGCACACATGCACTCACACACACACACACACACACACACACACACACACAGTTAACTGGATTAAAATGGGACATCTCACCCATGCTGGGCCAATGGAGAACTTCCCTGGGGATTTAGAATAGGGAGAGGCAATTGGTAATATTGAGTATCCGATGCTATATCATATCCATGTAGGTGCTGTAGCATCAGGAGAAGTAGAGAAAACAAGACTGAAGGGAATGGGAGAGACAAAGAAAAAAGGTAGACAGAGTGTAGCTGAGCCTGCATCCTCAATGGTTGTCTGACTCATGATTAAAATGGCTTTCTTAACTCTGGGATTCTATGAGGAATCACTGAATCCACATAAGAAAGTCACTTATTCTACCAAAGCTAGCTCAAGTTGATTTCTCTTACAGAAACCCTAAAGTGTTCTAATTAATATGTGATGTAAGCTTAATTTTCCTCCAGTTACTTCTTTTGATATGTCTATTGTTTAATAAATAAGGCAAGATTAAAAACCAAACTTTTAGAGTTGTTATTACAGATCATCCTTCTACATCACCAGCACTCATCTGTTGAGAGCCACAACCAAAGAGGCCCCAGCAAACACACACGCCTCACCACAAGAGCTCTTCAGGAATTCCCTCAGAGCCCAACTGCCACCACCGGCTTCCGCTGAGCCTCTCAACCCCAACTCCTCCCGCTCTTGAGGCCAATTGGCTGGGTTGCATGGGCGGAGCCAAAAGAGTCCCCCAATGAGCAGTTCCGTGATCTGAAAGGGCGGGGGAAACAGCCCAATGAGCATCACAGCAGAGGAGCCAATCAGCTGGAAGTTTGCTGGGGCCATGGTGAGCCAATCAGCTGGAAGTTTGCTGGGGCCATGGTGAGCCAATCAGCTGGAAGTTTGCTGGGGCCACTTCAGCTGTGGCTCTCAACACTCATCTCTGTTATCCCATATTCTTCTACTCCTCCATTCTCTTAATAGTTACTCAAAGTCCTTGAAAGGGGCTTCTCCCTCAAATAGTCCAGTTTCCCTCAGACATACCAGTCAAGTATAGATCCTGCTTAACTGATGTCCAGTCAATAATAATGACTTGCAAATCAAATCTCTAGCACTAAACCCTTTCCTGATTTTCAGATCTATGGTAACAGCTGGCTAATGGATCCTTCTTCTTCAAGGTAAAAGAAATAGAACTCAGTTTTTCTCCCCAGATCTGCCTTTTTATTGCATTTTCTTTCCTTGTTAATGAAACCACCATGAACCTACTACATACATTCAAAGTGGAAATAACTAATGACCACTTTGTCTTAATTCCCAGGTGTCTATTCATTCTACCTCCTTTATGTTTCACATATTAATTCCTCTCTCTTGCCTCACTTCAGATTGATCCTCAATCACTTGAGCTACAACATGGTCTCCCAATTCATCTTCTTGTCTTTAATTTCTCACAAATCCAATCCACCTGTTATGATTTGGAAAGGAGGTGTCCCACCAAAAGCTCCTGTGTTAATACAGTAATATTCAGAGGTAAAATAATTAGATTATGACAGCTGTAACATAATCAGTCAATCCAAGTTTGAATGGAATGACTGTGTGGTAACTCTAGGCAGATGGGGTATGGCTGGAGGAGGTGGGTCACTGGGGGTATGCCTTTGGAGGTTATATCTGGTCCCTCTGGCTCCTCCTTCTCTCTTTGCTTCCTGGCCACCGTGAGCAGAGCAGCATTCTGTCATCGTACCCTTCTGCCATAATGCTCTGCCTCAGCTTAGGCCCAGAGCAATGGAATCAGTTGACCATGGACTGAATCTCTAAAACCATGAGCCAAAATAAACTTTTCCTCCTCTAAGTTCTTCTCAGGTATTTTTGGTCACAGTGACATAAAGCTAATACACCATCCTTCCCAATTTTGCCAATTATCTTTATAAACACAAATATGATCAAGCCTCTGTACTGCTTAAAAACATTTTATGACTAC